TCTCTAAAGACTTGAAATGATGATATGCTGAGAAATCTAAAAGAAAACAAACATAAGGAAAAAACATAACCTTTCCCTTCCTCTTGTTGAACAATTTACACTAAAGCCATTAGGTAGGACCAAGCAAGGCAGGCTTCTACAAGGCCTGGCCTGGGGGGCTGATGGCATCCGTGTGGGGAGGAAACATCGCTGGTTACCTATTGCAACTGAATATTGGGGGCCAGTTTTCTCACTGTCTGAAAAGGGAGATTTACGCAAAATGAAAGGGAAAAAACTAGAACAAACCATGTGGTGTTGGTTAGAATTGAAGGTATCGGTTTAAATACCTCCATGTGTGAGAACTAGAGCTGGGAAATAAATATAGGTTGATAGATAGACTCTGTGTGTGTGTGTGTGTGCGTGCGTGCGTGTGTGTGTGCCTGTCTGTCTGTGTGTGTGTGCATGCGTGCGTGTGTGTGTGTGCCTGTCTGTCTGTGTGTGCGTACGTGCGTGTGTGCGTGTGTCTGTCTGTCTGTGTGTGTGTACGTGCATGTGTGTGTGTCTGTCTGTCTGTGTGTGTGCATGCGTGTGTGTGTGTCTGTCTGTCTGTGTGTGTGTACGTGTGTGTGCGTGCGTGCGTGTGTGTGTGTGTGTTCAAACTTATAGCCCTTTGCTCTCCCCGCTGAGAGGGCCAGGCAGCGGTGCCCCCTGACAGCAACGAGCACAACTAGAATACAGATCTTGACTTCCAAGTGTTATTCTCCAGTGAAAGTTACCACGGCATCTTGTGAAATGACCTATTCCAGGGTTGAGGCAGGGAAAATACAAATAATCTTGGAATATTTTGTGTCAGAAAGCAAGGAAGTGCTCAAAGAATACAAAGACACGTGAAAAGAACCAGAGGCCAACTTGAAGAGGCTTCACTGGCCAAATCTGGGACAACACAAACAGCAAAATAAGCAGTGAGAGCCAGTAGAGTAGAAAGAGGATCCTCCAGTCAATACTGACAGAAACAAATAAATAAAACGTGAAAGTGTAATGAAGAATGGGATGTGCACATGGTTTTAAAATATCTCCCTACAAAATACTTATTAATTACAAAGGAAAAATGTGTCACTTCCCAGGGAAGAAAGTTGGCAGACAACCGTCAGTCGAATGGTCGATGTCAGGCTGCAGTGAGAACATAACGTTGCCTCTGTGACCTTCCTGCCAGAGGTGGACAACTTGCATCTGATTATGAGCAAACGTTAGATAAACCCAAATCAAGGAAATTCTTCAAAAGACCTCGCCCATAATCTTTAAAAGTACCAAAGCGTGAGAAAAACCTAGGAACTGTTCCAGACAGAGAGAGACTAAAGAGACACAACATCTAAGCGCAAAGCTTGCATTTGGACTGGATTCTTTTCTATACAGAATGTACAAGAGATGACTGACAAAACCTGAATGACACCTGAGTTTCAGATGATGGAAACGAACCAGCGTTAGTTTCCTGATTTTTATGGTTGTACTGCAGTTATACAGGAGAATGTCCTCGTTTGCAGGAAACACACACTGAAGTATTTGGGGATCATGGGCACATCAGGTTGGCAACTTACCTCCAAATGGTTCAGGGAAAACCAAAAGCTGTTTGTTCTACAATTGCAACTTTTCTGTGAGTATGAGATGGTTTCTAAATAAAATTAACTATTTGAAAAAGAATCCTGATCCTCATTCCCAAATGCATATGATCATTGAAGTTACCTAGCATGATGACATCCCGGGGAGCTAATCTTTCCCAGTAGACACTTGGACACTCCTGTAAACAACCCTATTCAATTCTTAGTATGAAGGGAGGCTCTGTGGAGGGGGAGTCTTCTAAGTTTGAGGCTAAAGCATTTAAAGGTGGCCTCTTTTTCTCTACCCATAGCATAGGCTTAGGTGAAAAAGGGCATTGAATTTATCTACACAAACGGACAAGTTGAGGAACATTTTAGCATCTGTGTCAAGTTCATTATGTCATGGTAGAAAGAGTGAACCAGCCTGACACACTAAAAGCACAATTGGTGCTTTTATGATATCCTTTAATCCTACCTGTAGCTAGTTTTTAAGAAAGAAGTCCTAAAAAATATTTAGTATCAGCACTGTAGGCATCATTAAAATTAAATTAAAAGATGAAAAACACTAAGGTTCCGAGAAGTTAAGGACCTTTTTGTGGTGAAGCCAGGATTAGAAGCCATGATTAGCATCCCACGACTGTCTAGAAGTCTTATGGATTTGAGAATTCTGGTACCCATGCGAGCTATAAAACTCATTGAAATTATATACAGTCAGCATTTGAGTTTGCTTACTCTGAGCCTGTTATCAAAGGGAGGGGCCTCGTGTGTGCTGCCTGATCAAGTTTCCGAGCCTGGGCCATGGCAAATTCACCAGGACGATAATGATGGTGGTGATGGGGACAACCTCGGCCATGTGCAAAGCATCTTCTATGTACTATCAGACACTGTACTGTGTGCTTTATACACTTCAACTCATTTAATCTCCAAAATAATCCCATCAATTCAGCATTATAATTATTCCCATTTTGTAAATGAGGAAACTGAGGCCCAGAAAGCTTTAGAAACTTACCCAAATACCCGCATTTGGAACCTGGATTCAGACCCAGGTTCCACGGACTCTAAAGCCTAAAGCCTTTGAATTGTTATTAATACTTGTTAAAAAAAAATAATACTACGTTTAGAGGGAAGGGCCCTTATCCTCCTGGCCACAGTGCTCTGCTGCAGCACTGATTCCATGGACTCTAAAGCCTAAAGCCTTTGAATTGTTAAAAAAAAAAAAAATACTACGTTTAGAGGGAAGGGCCCTTATCCTCCTGGCCACAGTGCTCTGCTGCAGCACTGTGCTTCAAGCTATCTTCCACGTGGTTATTCATCAGTGAGACACTATTATAAGAGCCTTCCCATAAATACCCATAAGGAGTGGCAATCCGCGCTGACTCAGAAGTGCAGGTTAAACCCTGTCTCAAGGAAGGACATCACCATCTGCTCTATGCCACCCAGTTAGCTTCAGGAGCCAAAAATGGGGGCGTCCTTCCGAACTCTTCCCTCTCCCTCACCACCCCTTCCACATGCCCTCCGATCTCGTACATGTCCTTCCACTAAACCTCTTGCAAACCTCCCCAAAGCATCCACTTGTCCACTTCTCATGTCCCCATTGCTCCCGCCCATCTTTCAACCCAGCCTCTGCAAAAATCTCCTCCGTCATGTTTTTGCTTCTCCTCTTGCTCCAGATTGCTCCATTCTGCCTCCACACCTTGGGAGTGCAATTCTCAGTGATGCAGCCAGGGATCTTAACACCATCTAATCATGACAGTCCACTGTTTAAAACTCCTTCAGTAGGACCCCTGGCCTTGCTTCTGTGCTTCAGCCCTAATAGTGACTGGCCTGCAGCTCTCAGAATACACTCAGCTCCAGAGTGGCACACGTACTGGGCCTGGAGCACATCTGCATTACCCTGACCCGTCTTCCCTCCTCCCCTCCCCTGGTCAGTTCCTACAGGGCCTCTGGGACTCACTCATATTTCACCTCCTCCAGGAAGCCTGGGTTAGGTGCCCAACTGAGGTGCTCTGATCACACCCCAGCTCACCCACTGACGGGACTTTTTTATTATGTGACTCCATCCCCAGATTCTGACCTCACTGCAAACCAGGACCCACTCTGTTCATATACAGTGCCTGACAGGAACAAATGCTTGTTGAATGAATGAACGAATAAATGTGAGCCTTGTATATATATCATAGGTTTCAAAATCAACCCAGCTTCCTCAAGAACCAGCTGTGTGATCTTGAGACAGTTGTTTAATCTCCCAAGACCTCAGAGTCCCTGTCTGCAAAATGGAGATCATAAAATCAAGTGGTGAGATTTAAACTATGTATGTGTAAAGTCCTCAGTACACCTCGAGCCTGAGAAAGTGCTCAGATTCTGGTGGTGGTGATTATTATTGCTGTCTCCTTCAAGCCCCAACTGAACACATTCAGACTCATACGTGGCTTCGCAGATATTGCCCGTCAGTCACCATGATGACTCTGCGGCTCCGCCCCTGCCCCACACTCAGGCTGCATCTCATAATGCAGCATCTCGCACCGTCGGACACATTGTTTGAAAGGTTGTCCCGTCCTTTCCATACTTTCTCCACGTCACCTAACACTTCAACATATGCTTTTAGATAAGATGATATTACTGAGATTTGTGGGTTTTTTTTGCTCTAGATCTACTGCCCACTGGAGCCTTAAACTCTGACACTCACATTGCAACTGCTAGGGGTACAAATGCCATAGCGTGACCAGCACACCCCTGAGAGGAACACACTCCGAGAAGCAGCAGGTCCTGGGAGGAGGCAGGTGGTGATCCCAAATTAGAAACCAGGTCTTAAAGGGGCCACAAGCAAGATGGGTCTCAGAAAGAGGGTGTCCTCTGTCACAACAGACACAGAAAGGTGAATTATCAGACAAGTGGCTAAAAAAAATTATAGCATAGTCCCTGCATGGAATATTGTGAAGCCACTAAAAATAGAAGCCAGCTAATAAAGTGGCAAATAAGAACATGCAAGGGACGATGTGAAATAAAAAAGGATATAGATAATATGGGCTTTTTGATCGTCGTATGTAAAACTCACCTAAAGCAAACAAACAAAAACCTTTAAGTTGCAGACCAAACTGTTCCTAACTTTAACAGGGTGATGAGTTTGTGGGTGAAATTTTCTTTTCTCAGTTCCCCCCACCTTTTCTAGTGTGGTCATATTCCTTTAACATGTAAAAAGTATTTCTTAAAGGTATATGATTCTGCGTGTGTCCCCGGCAGATGGCTCCTGGAAAGAACGCGACAGTGTGGGGGACAAGCCCCAGGCTGCAGGGGTCTCCACGAGCCGCGGGCCTGACTCGGCAGCCTGCCGCATGGGCCAGCTTTGGCAGGGGGTGCCCGTGCCCCGGCCCAGCGGGTCCCCCTCGCGGCCCCCGACCCTGCTGCCCCCGGCGCCCCCGTCCGTACCTCTTGCAGGGGATCAGCGCCTTCCTCTCGTCCAGCACCCGCAGGCGCTGGTGGAGCCCGTCGTAGGAGAGCAGGGCGCGGCTGTAGCGCCCGCTGCTCTGCCGGTACAGGACCCGGCGCCCTTCCCACTGCTGCGGGGCCTGGCACGGGCGCGGTGCCCCCGGAGAGCCCGCCGCCCACGCCCAGACGCCGCCCAGCAGCCAGGCGCCCAGGACCCCCCG